CTCATGATTGTAACTGTTAGTTAGAGGAAGTTCTGAATCAGTCTCTATTCTTTGTCTGGTAAAGAATGAACAAGTATTGGAACAGTAGAGGTAAAAATGTTAGAGCAGTAAAGCTGGATGTAAGCTGCAACAAATATTATGTATTTTAAATGTTCATTATGTACATGTATAAATTGATCCTGTTTGTTAAGTATCAAACAGCAGAGCAATAGTTTACTTTCAATTGGACCTTTCATTTGGTTTGTGGAATCTAAAATATGCCTGTCTCTTAGTCACATTTTATTCAAAAACAAGATGCTAAATCCCGCTTTGATTTGGCAGATTAGAAGTCAATGGATCTTGAAACAGAAGAGCTGATTTCTTTACCTCACGTATATTATGAGTATCACATATATTTGGATTCAGTAACTGATTCAAAATAGTTTGCCTGTATAGACCAGTGGTCTGAAAAGTTAACAGAAATAAGTTTTTAAAAAAAGTTATTTGTTTAAAATACATTATTGTTATTCTCTCACGGGATGTGGGTGCTACTGGCTGGGCCAGCATTTATTAATCGTCCTTGAGAATGTAGTGGTGAGCCACCTTGAACTGCGGCAATTTTTGTGGGGTAGATACACTGTCAATGCTGTTACAAAGGGAGTTCCTGGACTTTGATCCCATGACAGTGAAGTAACGGCAACATAGATCCAAGTCAGGATAGTCTGTGCCTTGGAGAATTTACAGGTGTTCCCATCTGCTCTTGTCCTTTGAGATGGTGGCAATTGCTGCTTTGGAAGGCTAACTTGTATCCATCAATCTATCATATTTAAAAATGCTAAAATATGAGTGCTGTTTAAAGATTTTAAATCTATTGATTTTATTTGTGCTTACGCACTGGTAACATTTTTCCCCACGTGACTGAGATTTTATTGTTCATTTCCAAAAGGAAGTCTTATGACCCAAGATGATTTACATCATTTTAGGTATGTGTTCTGAAGAACATGAATGGCTTGAACTGTGCCAGTGCTGTTTTGTGACAGAGCACCAGGGACTATGCACTTTTAGCTATGATCACAATCACAATGGAGACCATTCCAGCTAGCATTCTCCATACCATCCCTCTGAAATTTGCTCGTTCTTCCTGTGTCTAATTTCTGCTTAGCTTAGACTTTCAATTTTCTTGTATGACATTGCATTTTGTGAATATGGTTTTCTTGAATATTTTGAACAGATTCTTTGCAACTTTTGACTTTGAAAAGTGGAGTAGTAATTTGAAATACTTGGAGAGATAATAGTTCTTTATTTCAGCATTGTGAAGGATGTCTATACCTCTTGTGAGAATTATGATTTCAGGCTGCTGTTATATCTTTCAAAGTGCATTAATTATATTTTGGTATCTTTCTCTTTTAGATCTTATTTTTTTGATGGGGCTCACTTCCTCAGTTTGCATAGTTTCCGAGATGATCAAGCGGTTGGAGAGACAGAAAGAGAAAGGCCCAAAACAAAATAAATCCTTTTTAGATGTATGATGCATATTGTATCTTTGAATTTAACAAACAAAAAAAAACTAAGAACCTGATGATGTGTTTGAAGAATGAACTTTGAATTGACATATGATGGCACTCGTAATTTAAAAGGACTGAAAAGATGTACTGAAAATGAGAACAATGAAGTATCTCTTGATCTCCATCTGTTGGGATAGCACAATGCAAATGGATGCAGAACTTTTCCCTGCAGACAGTGTGATTTGCTGCTTAAATGTACATAATATTTTGCTTCCTGTATAGGAAAGACTCTGCAAATGGATGTGGTGTAGAGTCTGTATTACACTGGATAGAATGAAAGTCTTTTTTTCCTAATTTCAGTAATATTATTTATCAATAAATAGTATGTTATTTTATACTTGATGGTGTGGATTTCATAGCATAAATTAGGTATTCTTAATGCATTGGGCATTCCATTATTCCAAGATATAAGCCACGAAAGTAAGATGCCTACAGCTCTTTTATTTTCTTAATGTAAAATAATGTTTAAAAAAAATTGCTGAAATGCTTTTCTGTCCTTGTTTTTAAAAGTCTTGACCACTATAGAACCCATGATTTGCAATCTAGAGGCTGTATCACATGTGTATATATGTCTTTAAACAGAAAAAAACTGCAAATGTGTACAATTTCGTGTTGAATGAAGTCTGTGTATGCCAGAGCATCTAATTGATCACATATAACAGCCTGTAATACAGAGTCTGCAGTTTTGACTTTTTTTTAAAAAAGTGTTTGTTCTCATTAGTAGTTGAATGCATTTATGGTGTAAAACTGTGATAACATTAAACATCATTGCTTTTCTAAGACTTGGCAAATGTAATGAAGACCAGAAATGTAAGCAGTGATTTTCTTTTTGTATTGGGCAACAGGCACCATTTGTCAGGCTGCATCTGTGATGGAATTGTATAGTCTATTTGGAAAATACAGTTTGTAATTAAATGATATTTGTAAGACTTAACTGTCCTCCTTTTGATGATACCTTTTCCCCACTTTGCAGTCTTTCAGCAGTGGAAGTTTGATTGCAACACATCCTAATGCACAGCCAGCACTAACTCTCTAACTTCTCCAATCTGCATGTTGCTAATTAACTTGGCTTTTAAATAACACTGCAGTAGTCAACATGATATTGTGATGTTGTATTACAGAGTCATTGAGCCTTACAGCATGGAAGCAGACCCTTTGGTCCCCATAGGTCCATGCCAAACATAATTCCAAACTAGACTAGTTCCACCTGCCTGTTCCTGGCCCGTTTCCCTCCAAACCCTCCTTATTCATGTACTTATCCAAATGTCTTTTAAATGTAATTGTACCCACGTCCACCACTTCCGCAGGAAGTTCATTCCACAAGCAAACTATCCCCTGCGTAAATTTACTTCCTTGTACGTTGTCAATTATAGCACTGTAAAATAACAGATGGTACTGTACCTGTGAAGGCAGTGCAAGCTCCTAAGAGTTGTGGGGAGGTGGGATTTTTATTCTGCTGGTTTTGAAGTTCACCATCATGTATACATGTTGTTGCCAAACTGTACTTTTTTTTCCCCACTAACTGTGGGCTGAGCTCCTTACCCAAATATAGAACTGATAATAGTTCTGTGTCAAAATTACATTGATCAGTTTGATTTAAAAAAAATTAAAATCTTTTAAAAGATGTTGTGATACAGCTAGAGCAGGTGGGACTTGATAAGGAGAAATGATGGTGGAGAAACCCAAAGAGGACACAGTAGCTTGGATAGAGACAAGTTGAGTCCTGACTCCATTTAGTTTAGCCAGAATCCTGCAACCAGTAACTTGCCAAACCACCTCCCTATTGAACATATTCTTTTTCTAACTCCAGTGACCTCAGTCTTACGCAGGTAAATTTTTACTCAGCTAATACCATTTCTTTCATCTAGGCCCAAGACCAAGTCAGTTCCAGCATGAACTAAATTTGTAAGAAACAGTTCCTTTGTCAGTTGATATCTGAACACAATGCACTTACTCACTAGTGCTTAGAATCTGTTTTCTTACAATAAACCAAACCAGTTTCTAAAAGCAATAAGCCAGGCAAAGGTAAAGTTGATGCGGAATATGGTAGTGTTTTGAACAATAAAATTCTCCTTGTTTTGCTAAATGATAACCTTGACATTTGTAGAGATTATGGATACTGAGACTGACACAGTGAAATTTGGAGGAAGCTGCAGAGGATATGACAAAACTAGACATCTCACCAAAAGCTATTTTCTATTTAGTTAACAGATAAACACTTGTTAAAGCTAATTTTTCCAGCAACCACTGTTGATGCAATTGGTACCAAACAGTACCAATTTCATCCAGTGGGTAATGTTGAGAAGGATCCTGATGCTTGAGTAGCATGAAATCTTCATACTATTACCCAGGCTTGTGCACCAGAGAGAACCACAATCAATCATAAACTCTCACTCGATTGGCATTGGAACAATTGCCAGGGATCACTTCCAACAGTGCGAGAGATCATAATGTTTCATTGGGTAACTGCTGCCTGTCTCAAGCCAGTCTGGTTAACTTGAAGATATGCAAACGTTCTAGTCAATGTGTTGCTTCCTAATAACATCAAGCTGGCAGCCAGTTCTAAAGTTCACTTCAACATCTTGTGATTGGTTCTCACTAGCTTCTAAGGACCATTTATCAGCATTACAAAGCCCAGAAATGTAGAAAATCCAACTTCCAAGCACCAATAACAACCTCATTCTGAAGGTTGTTGACAGCATCATATTCTGGGTCAACAATGATCAGCAATCTGTTCCCTGATGGCAGCATCAGCACTAGGATTGCCAAAGCTCCAAAGTATCATGTCAAAGTTAAGTGTGGACCAATTGCAAACTAAAAATACAAAGCTCCAAGTTTAACAAGATTGTGTTCTCAGCACTCTCCTCTACAGCAGTGAGACCTGAACAACTGATGCAAGTGAGAGAATATAGCTGGATAATTTTGATTTCTGGCAGAGATGAATATTAGGCATCACTTGGCAGGGCAGTTCACTGCTTGATGATGAGCTGAATGCCTGATGGTCACGTTCCAAAGACATGCTCTATGGCAAGCTTTCTATCAGCACTCAATCCACAGGCCACCCGTGTCTGCAATACAAGGATATCTAAAAGCAAGATTTTGGGTTGACCAGGATCAGAGTCGATGCTGGAAAGTCCTCACTTGACCAATTGCCTGGGATGTGCAGTCAAGAAAAATCAAAGCAAAGGACCTGGCTGGAAGGAAAAGACATAAATCAATTTGGACCAAAGTTATTCATTCTGGCAGGTACAAAAGGGATTGCCACTCGTGAAAAAGGCCTTTACAGCCACAACATACATCACAGATGGAAGAATCTTATCAACATTGTTCAGTTAGCTTCTTTGGTTTACTTAGCCCCTCAAACATAGTATGAAATTTAGTTTTTAAATAATTATTATAGGTTGTAATTGATCAATGTATTACCGCATTATAGCAGATCAAAAGTTGAGTCTCCACTATAGGAAACATCATTTACAAAATTTTATTCAATTTCCAGACAGAATCAGATAACAGTTTCAATAATTTTGTCAATTCAGAATGAAAACTGAGACTTAACTGACTGTACAGTAAAATGTAATTTGGCTGGAATGACAATCTAGTATTCATACAATGAAAGCACTTTGAATAAAATATACTTTGGGATAGGTACTAGTCCTGAGATTTGCCAGCATAAATCAGTGACTTCTGCATATAAAGGATGATGCCTATCTCACATACTGTACATTATGGTCCTAAAATATATCTTGCGTTAAATGAAAATACTGCAATAATAGATGTTAAACTAGCACTGTAATGTGGAAAGACAGTTAATCTTTCATTAAACTCAAGAGTCTAGAGTTGGGATCTTTACTCATTGCAACTTGCAAACTTAACCAGTCAACTGCTAATTTAAGCACAGCCAGATCTAAATCCTGGTCTCTATTGAATTAGACATCCTAAATTCAAGATAGGACTACATTCTCCAGTGGATGGACAGCAAAAACTAAAACCCAAATGAACCACAGTTTATCTCACTCTCTTGCTGGTTGTGTGTTTGGTTCAGAGGTTTAAAAACAAAAACAAAAGTTGTTGGAAAAGCTGAGCAGGTCTGGCAGCATCCATGAAGAAAAAAATCAGAGTTAATGTTTCGGTTCTGGTGACCTTTCCTCAGAACTATTCCAGCAACTTCTGTTTTTGTTCCTGATTTACAGCATCCACAGTTCTTTCGGTTTTTATTTAAGTTTAAAAACAAGATGGGCTGTGGTGACGTATCCTCATGAAATCCTTGTACAATGCTGTAAAGTGAGTTGTATGTCTTTTGCATTTAAATTCCAACAACTTTTGATGCTACAAGTAACAAAGATTTTATCAAAACTTCTCAGTTGTCAAGGCTGCAAATCGATTATTTGTATCGTGCCAGGTACACTGTCTCTGATTATCCTTGCTCGATGATCCAGTGGAATTAGTTGTTTGTTTTTCATTCCCTTTGGCTCGAGACCGGTGTTTGGACTTGTGTTTCGTCTGGAAGAAGTCTGCTGGTACTGTGATGATCACTGTGTGCAGGAGCTCATGATAAACTTCACTTGCAATCAGAGATCCTTTCAATAGATCCTCTGCAGCAACCGTAGATTTCAGTGTTTGGTGCAAGCGATGCACAGAAGTCCCACTATAGAGGCTTTCCAGGATGAAAAGAACGAACAGATGTGAGAGGGAATTCCTAAACGGCTATTCAGAAATAAACTAGGCTCAATCCAAGATTGAAAGTATTGCTCAAAATGCAAAACTTATAATCAGAAGCAAGGTTAGCAATAAAGTGAAACTCTTAAAAACTACAAACCGGAAAGATTACCAATCTGTGGCAGTTTTCATTCCTTAAGACAATAGTTTTGGCTGTGGTGATCAATTGTTAAACATTGCCTGGTGTGCCTCAGGAGCCCATTCTATCAGTCACTCCAACTTTTGCTGTAGAGTGAAGCAGTGGACCAAGACAGACAATTTGCTGGCCTATTTTCTCTGGGCCCTCTTCTCAGGCAGCTGAGCTTTTCATTTCTGTTCGTCCCTTCCAATGCGCTTGCCAACAGTCAGCCTTAAGAGTTGTGGCAGTGAGTAACTTCTCCCAGTTATCAGTACCATCTATTTTTACCTACCAATTTCTGGGACATAACCTGGAGCTTTTTGATTGGATAGGTTGCTACTTCTGAGCTATTCACTTCTGCAAGCAAACTGCTTTAATACTCGTAATATTTTAATAAGTCTGCTGTAAACAACATACAAGTACAGAAATGGCTGTCATAGAAAAAATCTCTATTCCTATTGTACTGATATGAGCTCAATAATAACTGTTTGCTCAAGTTGGAAATCAGCATTTTTGAAGATATTAACCATTTCACAACTCCACTGTAGAACTGGAAAGACTATTGCCCCATGCGATCCAGTTCCATGCCTCAAAGAGCAAGAAAAGCAGGCCAATCAATCCTAAATCCTGTTCACCGTTTCATAGATCATAGCCAATATGGACCTTAACTCTATTTACCTGTTATTGATCCACATCTTGCCGAATAATCTCTCAATTTTAGAAGTCCAATTCGCTAAATATCACATCCCTTCAGCATATTCCATATTTCCAAACCTATTAAAATATTCTCCACATTATAGTTTTTTAATTCTGACATTGCCATTCCATGTCCTAACATCTTCTCTGGGTGAAACTAAACGCTCATTGGCTCCCCATTTTTGCTGATAACTTTATGACTAAACTTTCAATTGAACAACTTGGACCAGTGGCAATATTTTTTTTCCATTCTGTCTTTGAAAACTTCTATCAAATCTTTGCTTAGTCTGCTCGTTTTCTGTGAGAAGAGTCTCTAGCTTATCCTTCCAAACGAAGCTCCTCCCTCAGATATTAACACCTTTGCAGCCTCTCCACAGCCTTGATCATTCTTGCTTGCCTTATCTTAGAAAACTGAGTTTGTACAAGTTTAGCATGAACTCGAGTACCTGTTTAGCTCGCCTTAGCAGGACATTAAATGTGAATAATTGTCACATAGATCTACCAACCAGACTGCTATTTCCTGGAATGTAAAGGAGTCAAGAGGGAACAAGGCGTTTTTCATTTTTTGGATAAGATGATAAATGTTAATCTGACATTCATTAAGCCTCATCAATCATCCAGCTATCTGCAATAGATTTGTACAAATTTCCTTACCGTGTAATATCAGGCACAGGAAGGGCACTGCACAGGAGCTGATTTAGGTAGATTCCCATTAAAAGGCAGCTCTGCCACTGACAGAACACGTGCGCCACATCTATATCCAGGTTCCACATTTGCTGCTTCCTTTCTTTCACTTGGGACAGTCTGTCATGCACCATTCTGATGCTCTTCTCATCAGAGCCGCTGTTACCTAAGTACATTTGATTGTGAACATAATCAGTCACACTCAGAGTTCCCAGCAATTTTTTTCATTGTTAGATCTAACAGTGAATTCACAGCCACTGGCCCCTTGTAATGCACAGCGGTCATGGGCTCCCTACAAAAAGGTTCACTTAGCTTATTCCAGGGCTGATTTAGGAGGAAAGGCTGGGTTGGTACCCAATAGATTCAAGAGAATAAAGAATGATATTGTTGAAATTTATAGGATCCTGAGAGGAACTGACAGCATAGGGGGGGGGGGGGGTGGGAATATCAGGAGAATGATTCTACATGTGACGAAGACACTAAAACTAGGGGACAAAAAAGAATACTTTTAAGATGACAGAGGAGTTGATTTCTTTCCTCTCCATGTGTCATTAGTCTGTGGAATTACGTTCCTCAGAAAGCAGGGTAAGCTGGGTCATTGGTTATATTCAAGGTTGAATTTTATAGATTTTTAACAGACAAGTGAGTCAAGGATTATAGGGGACAGGAAGGAAAGTGGAATTGAAACCACAGCCAGTCATGACCTTATTGTCTCGTGCAGCAGGCTGAAATGGGCTACTCCTGTGTTCTTATAAAGGCACTGATATCTGACTGCCACCCTGTGACTCCCATCTAAAGATCCCCAACAAATCAAGTCAGACAGCACCTTGTATTGTTAACCCTTGCTCCAGAACCCTAGGCTTTAGGACAAAATGAGAAAAAACTGATTCTGTAAGATTTTCTATTAGATGATTTAGACGTAGCAAAAGGCCTCAGATTCAATCTCTCTTTTTGTATTTATTGAGCTGGTCTCAGCCAGGACAACAGGCAGGGTATGACATAAATATTTGGAGGGTGGGAAGTCGGAAACAATCTTGGTTACTACTTCTAACTGATAACCATTGAAGTTTCAAATCCACGACAACTTTTCAGTCAGTAATAGGAGTATTCCACATAGCTCAGCTAGCTGCTTTGATAGTTAATGGGGCTATCAACTCTAGGGTCATTGTCTCAAGCCTCACACTGACTACCTTTTTTTTAAAATCTGATACTTTAAATCATTTATTTTAGCTTTTTATTCAATTCAACAACTGTGGTGAATAAAGTCCCTCATCACAGCTACAGGGCGATAAAGAGTGAACAGAGATCTCAGCTACCAAAGAATGCATCAACTTGTAGAAAACAGCAATAAAAACGCAAGCTGCAGAAAAGCCTATACATTTTGATGCTCCTGGAAGACCTTGTAATATCTGCAGAAAATCCCATGACATAAGTAAAATACCCTGATGCATTTCTGCTCAGAATTTTAATAATGACTGATACACCAATAGAACATTATAGGGAACAGTCAAATTGCTTAGTTAAATTTACTTTTCGAATGGAATAGAATCCCTACAGCGTGGAAGCAGGCCATTCAGCCCATTGGATCCACACTGAACCTCCAAAGAGCATCCCACCCTCAACCTATCCTTGCACTTCCTATAGCTAATCCACCTAGCCTGCACATCCCTGAACACAACAGGCAATTTAGCATGACCAGTTAACCTAACGTGCACATCTTTGGTCTGTGGGAGGAAACCAGAGCACCCAGTGGAAACCCACACAGACAAGGGGAGAACATACAAACTCCACACAGACAGTCGCCTGAGGGTGGAATCAAACCTGGGTCCCTGGTACTGTGAGGCAGCAGTGCTAGCCACTAAGCCACTGTGCTGCACCTTACTTCCTAATAACAGATTCCAGTTGCATCTCAACTTAATTTAGGATGCTAGTCTATTTGCATACGATAAAATTAGCTTTAAGAAACACCAGCAGTACTTAAACATCCAACTTTGCATGTCTGATACTGCCTGTGAACATGCAGGAGATGCTCCCCCTACTGTTTCAGCAAAAATAAATTCAACCTTCATCATCTATTTTCTCCAGACAATGAAGGCAGGGAAGAGTGAAAATAGAAAGTGAAAAGGTAGCAGAAATTTTCCTAGTCATAAACTCTGTGCAGTAAAATTGCAAAGAGAAATCAGTATCACATAATGCAGCACAGTGGTTCGGTGCTTAGCACTGCTGACTCACAGTGCTAGGAACCCAAGTTCAATTTCAACTTTGGGTGACTGTGGAGGTTGCACATTCTCCTCACATCTGTGGGGGTTTCCGCTGGGTGCTGCGATTTCCTACCAGAGGCCAAAGATGTGTAGGCTAGGTGGATTAGCCATGGTAAATGTGGAGTTACAGGGATACGACAGGTGGGGTGGGGTGGGGTTGGGTTTTTGATGGGATTTTCTTTGGACGGTCAGCGCAGACTCAATGGGCTAAATGGCCGCTGCTTGCACTGTGGGGATTCTATGAGATGCATGTAGAGCATCATGGGCATCAAAAGGTACAAACATGCAGGTACTACAAGCAGAACAGTATCAGACATGTAGCAAGCACATAACACAAAATCCTCAAGGCTTCACAAATCAACTTAGACATGGCCTGCAAGGCTGACCAAGGTGAAGGTGCAAGGACTCATCGGCAAATCTGAGGGACTATGTCATGTCCTTCATTGACTCGTTCAAAAGTGCACCAGAACAAACTACTTTGGGAAGAACTACTTTGAGACTAGGGCCCGAGGGCACAGCTTTAGCGTAAAGGAAAGACCCTTCAAAACAGAGATGTGGAGGAACTTCTTCAGGTAGAAAATGGTGAATCTATTGAACTCATTGCCACAGAAGGCTGTGGAGGCCAGGTCATTGAGTATATTTAAGACCGAGATAGATAGGTTCTTGGTTGTCAAAGGGATCAAAGGTCATGGGGAGAAAGTGGGAGAATGGGGTTGAGAAATTTATCACCCATAATTGAATGGTGGAGAAGACTTGATGGGCCGAATGGCCTAATTTCTGCTCGTGTCTTATGGTCTAAGCCACTTGGTCACAAGAGCAGGTCAGAGACTAAAAAATACTGCAGAGAAGAGCTCACCCCTTGGTCTACTGTGCACAAGATACAAGTCAGGAATGTGATGGGATACTATTCACTGTAAGCCCAGCCTCAACACCACTCAAGAAGCTCAACACCATCCAGGACAAAGCAGCCTGCTTGCTTGCCAACCTGTCTGGCATCCTCAACATTCAATTCCTCCAACACTCTTGCACAACGGCAGCAGGGTGTATCTACAAGATACACTGCAACTCACCAAGACTTCTCCCACGATATCTTACAAATTTGTGACCTCTACTGTGAAGAAGGACAAAGGCAGCAGATACATGGGAATACAGCCACCTGCAAGCTCCCTTTTAAGCCACATACCATCACAAGTTGGAGCAATACTGCTGTTTGTCTACTGTCGCTGTCAAAAACCTGGAACTCACTTCCTCCCAACCAGCACCGTGGGTGTATTGACACCACACAGCCTACAACAGTTCAAGAAGCCAGCTCATTACTACCTTCTCAAAGAAAATGAAGGATTGGCAATAATTGCTGGCCTGGCCAGCACTTGGAAAACAGTGACAGGATCAAATATAGTCAAATCAACTGAAGTTTTTTTGAGGATGTAACCAGTACAGTTGATAAGGGGAAGCCAGTAGGTGGTTTACTTGGCTTTCACTGAAGTCCCATGTAAGAGGTTAAAATTAAACTGCATGGATTTGGGAGATTGTGTACTACATGGATAGAGACTGGTTGGCTGTCAGGAAATAAAGAATGAATAAAAATATACTTTTCTGAGTAGCAAGCAGTAAGTAGTGTGGTACTGCAGGGACCAGTGCTTGGACCACAGCTATTCAGAATATTGTTGAGACCATCACTATTTTTCTTTTACTTTCTTCACTATTTTTGGTTTGGAGCTGTGATTTGAAGTTAGGAATTAAACCTTGAATAGAAACTTGTTATAAAAACAGAACAAAGACAGGTGTATTCTGTAGGCAACAGACCTGGAAAACAAAGCAACTTAATCACTAATCTAAGGACACTGTGAACAAATGGCATCAAGGTGTTATGCTCAGGGCTGGCAGCTAGTTGGATGTTGAGTTCTGAGGAAGGGTATACAGACCCAAAACATTAACTGCTTTTTTCTTCACAGATGTTGCCGGACCTGCTGAGCTTTTCCAGTGACTTCTGTTTTTGTAGTTGGATATTGAATTGGTCAAGAAGAACTTGCGTTAACCTAGCCAACCAGAGAATGTCATTTTTTCTTTTCAACAAAGAGAATTTGGCAGGAGAAAAAGATTTTTGGAAACTTCCAGAGAGAAGGTCGTTTTGTTTTGCACTCTACAGTTTACTTCCAGTAACTGAATTGTGGAATGCTCTGAGAAAAAGAATCCCAATCTGTAAGAAACAAGTCTATTTCTAAAAGTCTGCTGAAATTGTTTACATTTCACTGGTGACTTCAGTTACAGTTCTACTTGTCTGCAAAAATCACCTGTCCAAGGATTTCTGAAAGCCTTATATTGATCATTTGAAACTGTTTATTGAACTGACAAATTACAATTCGTTTATTTTCTATTTTAATTTTTCCCTTACCTGTGTGTCTGTTTGAAGTGGAGGTTATAATCAAAAAATGTTGGGCTTTAGATTGTAGATATTAATTATGTTGTCTTGTTAATCAGTGTTCTGCTAAAGTTACATTATCAATAATAAATTGTTAATTTTTGGTAAAGCTTTAAACATGATATCCAGGATCTGTTATTCATAAAGTCTGGTTAGGAACTACTGAGTAATTCTGAGGGCAATTCAATGCTTCAATTTCACTGTGCTGCATATTCAGTGATATTAAGGCTGATTCATTTGGCCTGCTATCCCTGTGTAATTACATATTAATGATTTAAATGAAGGAACTAAATGTAATATGTCCAAGTCAAAACAAAAGTGGGCAAACTGAGGGAAGGATGCAGACATACTTCAGTGTGATTTGGACAAGTTGAGTGAGTGCATAATGCACAGCAGATGAACCAAAATGTGGACAAATGTGAGGTTATTGCGGTTGGTTTTAAAAAAAAGGGCAGATTATCTGAACAGTGATAGATTGGGAAAGGGAGAGGTGTAATGCAGCCTGGGTTATTGGACACTAGCCACTGAAAGTAAGCATGCAGATGCAGCAAGTATTGAAGTTGGCAAATGGCACGTTGACCTTCATTGCAAGAGGATCTGAGTACCGGAGCAGTCTGCAATTGTACAGAGCACTAGTGAGACCACACTCGGAGCACTGGGTTTCCTTACTGGAGGAAGGTTGACTGTTTCTGTGCAAAATGCGAAAGAATTTACCAGATTTCTGGGATGGCAGAAGTGACATGTGAAGAGAGACAAGATCAGTTAGGACTGCATTCACATGAGTTTAGAAGAACTGGGGGCAGGTGGAGGTGGTTTGAGATAGAAACTTATAAAATCCTAATAGGACTAGACAGGGTAAACGCAGGAAAGATGTTTCTGAAGACTGGGGATTCCAGAACCAGGGATCACACTTGAAGGATACGGGGTATATGATTTAGGACTGAGATGAGGAGAAATTTCTTCCAAGAGTAGTGAGCCTGTGAAGTTCTTTCCCACAAAAAGAAAGGCTAAGGCCAAAACATTGCATGTTTTCATGAAGTTGGATATAGTTCTTGGAGCTAAAAGGGATTGAAGCCCACATCCTATGAATGAAGGAATAAAATCTCAAGGAGTGAAACTGCTTCCTTCAATCAGTAAAGCATTCAGGCGATAAAGGACAAAAGGCAAGGCAGTCCAGACAAATCAGCCATTTACTCTCTCCCACATTGTGAAAAGTCCTACGGGTCTGCAATTTGGATCTACAGCACAACAGGTCAGAGTACATATGTAAGTAACGGCCATCTTCAATTGTTCTCGGGACCTTCCCTATTGAATAATCTCATTCTAATTTGCAATATCTAAACACAGAAGTGCAATAAGCCCTGTTTTCTTCAGATATTTTCTATTTACCTGGTTTGTGTATTATTTTATTCAGTTCTCCAGTTACAATGCAGAGCAGCAGAGCCTGAAGATGGTGCAATGTCACTTTGGGTTCAGCATGAACCACCCAGTAGCATGTCACAGCAACTGTTAGCTGCAGGTGAGCTGGCAAGGCCAGCACATCAGGTTTCACGCTCAGAACGTCCAGTAGAAAACTGATTCTGTCTGACAGAGAAATCTGCAGAAAAAAAATAAAATGTGTGATCAGGATCCTCTAATAACCAATCCACTCACAGGGGTACAGCTGTGAGTTGATTAATCTGACATGGTGGCATAGTGGTAATGTCACTAGACTAGTAATTCAGAGGTCCAGGCTAATTCATTGGAGACATGGGTACAAATATCACTGATGGTTTTAAAAACCCATCTGATTCACTAATGCCTTTTAGGGAAAGAAATCTGTTTCCCCACCTGACCTGGTCTGTACACGATTCCAGATTCTCAGAAACATAGTCGACTCTTCACTGCCCTCGGAATTTGTCTAACAAGTCACACAGTTCAAATTAAGGATGGGCAACAAATGCTGGCCTTGCAGATGGACACCCACATCACATGAAAGAATAAGAACTAGAAAACACAGCTAAGAGCTTTTCATATTGAAAGGTCCTTTACGTGAAACATTAACTTTGTTTCTCTCTCCACAGATGCTTCCGGACCTGCTGAATGTTTCCACCGTTTTCTGTTTTGGGATCAAATGTACTTTGTGGAGTAAGGATGTTTAAAATAACACCTAAATGCTGAAATTTTAAATTAGGAGTTTTGAAAATTATACACTATAACCCTGGGAAAAAAAAGTAGAATTTGTGGTAACTGGGAAAATTTTTTTCCTTACTTCATGAATTTAAAACAGCTAAAGTTAAAGCTGGAAACTTGTCAAATTTCAAAATCCAGATTGATGCCCAGTTCCATATAATTTTGTTTTTGATAACTTACTGTAAAATATATTTTGTTTAGGAAATACTAATGTATTTTCCACATGAAGTGAGGTTGGCTTGCCTCATTTCAAATAGTGGCAGCCATTTATGAGGCTTTTTGTCTATAAACTTTCACAGAATGTGACATCACTGGCACAGTCCAGCATTTGTTGCCCATCTGCAACTGCCCTTGAACTGAGTGGCTTGCTCGGCGATTTCAGTGGACAGTTAATAGTCAACCATGCTGTCTCGAGTCACATATAGGTCAGACTGGTTCAAGATGACAGATTTTCCTCCCTGAAGGACATCAGTGAACAAGATGGATTTGTATAACAATTGATGATGTTATTGTTATTGAGAATAGCTATCAATTCCAAATTTATTGAATGTAAATTCCACAGCAGAATCTGAACACATCTCACAAATTTCAGCCTGGATTGCTAGTCCAGTGACATTACCACTCGCCACTAAATTGTTAATCACACCCATAAGTACCATTGGATAGAAGGCACTTAAAAGAAAATGTCATATTGGGCATACTGATTTTGAACTGAATGCAGGAAACTTTACTTTGCATGTAAATATACCATGGATGATCTAGAGAATGTGATACTATGAATGAAGGGCAAAACAAAAAGATGCTACAGATCAGTCTTGATGCACAATTATTTTACCAATAAAATTCAAAGCTAAGAAAGTATTATTGTGATGATCAAGACCGAGGTGGTATGACTTGGGGAATCCTCCATGGCCATCCTGTAATGATACTTATTTAGAAATAGGTTGGCTTGAGGAATAAGTGTAACTAATTAGGTAGGACACATATGCTACATTAATAAGTTAACAGACTTGAACTCAGCACAAAGTAAAAAGGCACAAACAATCATTTCACGCCACAAAAGGAAGCCCAGAAAGAGACATGGCATCACCACTCCTCAGCATAAAAATAAGATGTTAACTACGGGATAGATAATGGAACCATGACAGCATTCAAAGATCCTTATTGTATGAATACCATTAGACACTAGGATCAAACAACATCTATGTTAAAAGCAGACAGTATTGTGAGTTAAACTAAAAGATAGTCAATTGAGAAATAAAACATTCTTCTACTCACAAAACTTTAATAAAGGAATATTTTAAAATTGGCAAGAATAAGGGAGAAATAAATAAATCTTCAAATAATAGCTTTAAAACATCATAAACAAACTGACTAAATAAAAGCTTAATTTCATGAAGGAATCTTCACCAAACAATTGTGGAATAATGTTAAATGATACTGTATCACATGAAAATAGGAAGAACAGATACAGACAGTTAACATCCCATTTTCAATGCAGGTGGTGATCAAAACAATATAAAAGCAAGCACCGTACACTGAAGATTTAGAAGTATTAGAAACCCTCAGACAACACTCCTCAAAACATATTTTTCCTACTGGGAGAAGGTATCTTATTCTCTCGGGGCTTTAAAATAAAACGTTTCTTTAAAGGTTGAGGGATATTTTATTTGTAGACATTGTTGAATAGTTATAAACATCAAACTGAATTTTACTGGATTTGGTATTACTTTTCTTGATATTGCAGTTTACTTATCCATTTAAAAGTACAGCAAACTTTGTTTAAATCGGCACCTTACTGACCAGCACTCTTGATAAACTAGCAAAAATTATATACCTCAAGTACTGCAATGTCCAAGTATTTACGCTGTAAATAAAGTATAACATTGAGGTGTATACTCCCCTGCACTACATTTCTATTACTTACTGTGTATATCTTGATTTTAGGTCATGTGTTATTGTTATTACATAGATTTTTGAGAGATGTTGATGTCTCGAAGCTACAGGGTTTACTGTGGTCACATGTACCTCAATTTTCCAGAATATTTGATCAACTGATACACTCCTGGTCCCATAGGTGCCGGTTAACTGAGAAGTTTGCTGTACATTTTGTTAATTTCTATGATAAAATTGTAAAATGAGTAAGTCACCTCATTTAAGTTTTTCTGACAACAGGCAAACTCTATTCTCCATATGCTTAAGCGGGGAAGTATATATTCTTAATAGAGAAACCCAAACTCTTATAATATCTGGATGTTTATAGCACATCAAGTTTATTAAAAATAAACAGGCTGTTTGGAGGAAAGTTACAATCTTGGGTAGTTTCTTCCCCGGTGAGTCCCTCAGATACTAGGCTAAGTTTTGTGGGATTGATTAGCTTAATTTCAGCAGACAGATGTTATCAGGGAGATACAGGCAATACCTGGGTTGGGAACAGTTGCAGTTCCTGATTCTTTTTGCAAGTCAGAACAAAATGCAGATCAATATAAAGTAACAGTTCACAAGTACAGGAAATGTTTGTATGTCAGATATTTAAAATTCCCTATATGGGATCAGGGAATCAGTAAATCAGGGACCCCCCGTACTCCTTATCTAAAATAGTTCCAAGTAACGTTAAAGCTAGAAATCACTTCAATCTGTGACAGTCTGTAATATAATACATATTCAGTTCCAATATCTCTCACTTTAAATTTTTGATGCACATTCACCTCAGGTAGTCTTTGCAATGAATAGTTTTCATTTGCGTTGAATGTTTTCAGCACCGCTTGGACACTAGATTTTCTCAGTGTTTGTTCGTATCTATCAAATTCATCCACACAAGGCATTTTGCCGAGTCTTTCTTCACCAATGCCTGCCTGTACTGAAACCCTACTTGATAAATCCAACGTTAGATCAGGACAAGGCTCGCTGGTACACAGCAACAGTCCATAAATGACCTGACGAATATACAATGAACATCTATTACTGCTGGGTCTGCTAGCATTCTCCACCTGATTGTGCAAAAATGCTCTCTTTAAGATCAAGCAGTCACTAAGAAAAGGGGCTAACTCTCCTTTCATTAGGGCAAGGCACATCCATTCTGGGGCTTTGCTGGCCAAGGCAATGGGAACATGAGCTCTTAAGTCTTTATTTTGAAAGAACTTTGTAAGATCCACTTCTGACTGAGTATATTCATCGATAAGAGAGCAGAGAATTTTTCGGATCTCTTCACGTTCATTTTGTTTTAGACATTTAAGAATGTTTTCTATAGCCTCCTTTGGATCAGAAAACTTGGACAGCCAGTTCAGAAGCCCTTGAATCCGCATATTTTTCCCTCCTGCTGAACAAGATGTCTTTGCATTGATATGCACTCGGGAGAGAAAAGTCTCCAAGGGAGGTATATTCACGTAATCGTTGCCATTCAACACTGCAAACAGAGGCAGTAGGGCTTTGTTAACGAGATTAAAATGTTTACAGAAATTGTCAACGGAGAAACATTGGGCCAAAATGTAGGATCCAGAATGGTCGTTTGGAGTAATTATGTCTTGCCACTTAAAGTAATTGAGAGGACAATAACCAGCCTTCAAATCAAAGATACAGAAGTCACTGTCTAACGTCACAACAGGGCAGGTCCACTGATTAGCGAGAGTTACAATATCACGGTCTGCTTCTGAATGACATTGGACGAAAGGTATTTGCAACTGCAGTAAAACTTGTTTAAAAACTTCAGGGTTCAGCAGCGGTAGCAGCATTCCTCCACCACCTCTAGAGATGACACGTGCTTTTTGGATTTTTTCCCTGGCCCGCTGTTTGAGAGTTTCGAACTTCTTATCGGTGAAATCGCATCCACCATCAAACACTACATATGGCGCAATATTACAGAGAGACAAGGCCTCAAAAAATTTGCAGATGACGTCGGTAAACAAATCATATTCACCTCCACACTGAAGATCGAGACCAGAATCAAAGTAAAGTCTATGAAATAAGCTATTGCCATCGATCACAATTTTTGTATTTTGTATCTTGACATTATTAAAAAAATTATGATTTTCTCCAATGTAGGTCATCAATCCATGGACACCCATGTTAGACAGCAAAAGGCTTCACCCTGAGTAATGAATACAAGGAGTTAGGTTAGGTTGGATTGGGTAGGTCATATCTGAGCATTGTTATGTGGTACAAAATCTAATTCAACAACTGAATAAATTCACTATAATAATGCATATAGTAATTTGTTAGAATGACACTTCAGTCTTGGTGAAAATTTTTTTTTCAAAGCTTTTTGTCTTGCACTCAACACATTCATTTGTTTCGAGTTTTAAAAAGCTAACAGCCATTACCTGGCTCATCCCCTAGAACAATGCCTTAAGCCAGTCAGTCAAGTGACTCACCACAAACTTCTCAAGGGCACTTAGAGAAAGAAAATAAATGCTGGCCCCCCAACAAAGCTCACATCCCCTGAATTAATTTAAAACAAAAATCAAGAGTCATCTGCCCTGTTTTTAATTTAAACAAAGCTTGGTAGTTAACTTTTAGTCATCACTGAACTGGTGCACTGCCCATTGTAATGCCTCTACCAGAGTCAATAGGCTATTCAATTAACTCTCTTCTCATACAGTATAAAATGTCATTTCCCCTTGCATTCTTGCAAATATCCTGATGAGAGCAAGATGTGTATTTTATCAGTAACGTAATTGCTCAAATTTTATATGAAGTTCAGCGACCAAACAGAAATGAAGAGAATGTTACTATTTCCACTTTTCCCTTGAAAGCAACCACTCCTATCTACCTCGGTTCTGCCATATGGTGCCGTACATAACAGTATAGGTTGTCTGATCATACCTGGAGAGCTCATTCATTGTAATGGGTTACAGTAGGCATTTTGATCAAGGATCTACATGTCTCGAGTGGTTCTCCCTCTGTCTGCGTGGGTTTCCTCCTGCAGCCCAAAAGGTGTGCAGATTAGGTGAACTGGCCATGCTAAATTACCCCATAGTATCCAAGGACACACAAGCTGACGGATTAGCCATGGGAAATGCAAAGTTACAGGGTTTGGGCAAGGGTATGAGTCTGGGTGGGATGGTCTTTGGAGGTTGGTTCAAAAAGATACAGTTGAAAGAAGTTGCCCATTTAAAACTGAGATGAAGAAGAATTTTATTTTCTTTCAGAAGATGGTCAGTTTGTGGAATCCTTTACTGCAGACATCTGTCAAGATTGGTTAATAAAATATAATCAGAGACTCATACAGAAACTTAACAGAGCATCAGAAACAACTGAGGTGAAAACAATTTACAAAGACAAAGCCATGTCAGAATTTAAATATGCCTTACTTCACAAGTGGTAGGGTTGAAATATGTAGATTTGTGATATATGATTTGTAATTCTGATATTTGAGAATTTCACATTTTAATTGCAATTAATGTCGTTGGTTACACATCTTTAAGACTGTGTCCAGCTCACGGTCCTACATTTTCAAAAGGATACACTGGATTTGAAAGGAACATAGTGAGTATTGACTGGACAATCACCCAGGGGAAATTACATGGAGAGATTACATATATTGGGCTTGTATTAGTTAATATGAAATGCATTTGAATATGGAGAATTGATGGAGGCATGAGACTTTAGTTCTTTAATTCTACTTTCCTGCCTATTACCCAAGTCCTCTGCTCACTTGTTGAAAAATCTATTTAACTCACTCTTGGAATAAACTAAAGGAACAAACCTCCATTGCTCATTAGGGGAGTAGCATTCCAAACATTAACAATCCTCATAAGAAATGTTTTATGTCTTGCTTTGAAACTCAGTCCCAGTTCTAGATTCCTCCATGAGCGGCACAGTGGTTAACACTACTGCCTCACAGCTTTAGGGACCCGTATAAGAGTCAGGATGCCATGTTACAGCTTTATAAAACTTTGGTTGAGCCACGCTTAAGAGTATTGCTTTCAATTCTCATCATCACATTACAGAAAGGATGTGGGGGCTTGGAAAGGGTGAAGAGATTTACCAGGATGCTGCCTGGTTTAGGAAGTATGGGCTATAAGGTAAGGCTAGAAAAATTCAGCTTTGTTTTCTCTGGAGCAGTGGAGGCTAAGAGACCGGATAGAAGTCTACAAAACTATAAGATGCATACATAGTCAGAATCTCCCCCAGTCTTGAAATCTCTAATACTAGGGCGCATGCATTTGAGGTGAGAGGGGGAAGTTCAAAGGAGATGTCAGGGGCAAGTTTTATTTTTAAAAACACGAGTGGGAGGAGTGTGGAACGTGCTGCCAGGGGTGTTGGTGGAGACATATGATTAGGGTGTTTGAGGCACTTTAGATAAGCACATGACTATGCAAGGAATGGAGGCATATGGACCAAGGGCGGGCAGAAGGGATCAGTTGAATTTGGCGTCGTGTCCGGCCTGTTCCTGTGCCGTACAGTTCTATGACTGTTGCTGCCTCGAGTAAGGAGACCAAAACCACACATTTTTTAAGACTACTAAAGTACCTCATATATATCCCTTTTGCAGTCATGGGCAACATTTAAGGGATACCAAGGCCTGGAAACAGAGATACTAAGACAGTAATTGACAGTGTGTTGGGCCCAGATGCGGAAAGGGTTGTGAATGGCGAAGACGGGTCCAGGGTTCCTTAGGGTTTAATTTCAGAATGCGATACCGTACCCCAGGAGGCTCTCAACGGGGCAGCAGACGCTCCTTTATCCGATCCCCGAGGCTACTCCAATATCGCATCTGCTTCAGGAGCGGGAGAGCTTCCCGCGGGCGTCCCGCTTCGAAGGCCCGGGCCACCTCCTCGTCCAGCTCCCGGAGCCGGGCCTCCACTTCCTTGGACACCTCCTCGATCTCCTCCGGGCCTCGGGCCTCTTCCAGCCGCTCGTTGAGGTGGAGGACGGCAGCCAGGAAGGCGGGATCTCCACCGCCGCCGGCCGCCCCGCTCTCCACCTCCTCGCCTACGCCGGCTTCCCCCGGTAACTCCAGCCGCAGGAGGTACAGGCCCCGGGACAGAGGCCTCAGCAGAGTCCCGTAAGCCTCGTTGACCAACGCTGACTGCTCCTCCGAGAAGCGGCGCTCGTCCTCGGAGCCGCGGCTGAAGTTGTCTGGGTGCAGATCCCGCTGTAGATGGCGTAGCCTCCGCCGCAGTTGCTCGGTCTGCAGACGGTAGCGGCGCGGGAGGCCCAGCAACTGGAAGTAGTCGCGGCGCCGGTCCGGGGGCTGCAGGGCCCGGCAGGACGGGCAGAAAAAGGCCGAGCCGTCCTCCTCCGCCGCCTCGGCCCGCTCTGCCCCGCACCGCCAGCAGCCGCTTGCCCCGCTACAGAAAGCGCGGCGACCGGCGGCGAGGAGCAGACAGGCTGCGGCCCAAGGGGGCTGCCTGAGGCCCCGGGCCGGGTAGGGGGAGGCCCGGGCCGGCACGGGGAACTGGGTCCCGGGGGTGAGGGAGGGGGCCCCCGCCCTGAAGGTGACGGTTGGAGCCACGCGCCACAACAGCCTGCACAGCATCGTTCAAACCAGCCAATCAGCAACACTCTGAAACGTCACCGACGCTACGCCTCTACGTCATTTCCGGAATCTATCCCTCACTTGGCCCCACCCTCCGTTCTGAATTCTCCCAAGCTCCACTCCTTTTTCCCAATTCCTATTTTGACTTCTTCATCCTCCCCAATCCTCCCAAACCCCTTACCTGCACTCCCACATCTTCCTTCATCCTCACATTCCCCTCTCTCCTCCCTTCCCACCTGCCCTCAGCCCCTTTCTGCCTACCATTTGCTCTCTATCCCCCTTCCCCACTCCTCTCAATCCTCTCTACCTCCTCCGCATCCTCCCCATCTTTTCTCCACTTCCTTTACCCCTAATCTGCCAACCTTTCCTTCCACTTGCCCGTCTCTTCCACCTTTCCTCCACTTCATTTAATTCTCCATCTCCCCCTCTGATCCAAAAACAAAGTTGCTGGAAAAGCTCAGCAGGTCTGGCAGCATCTGTGAAGGAGAAAACAGAGTTAACGTTTCGGGTCCGGTGACCCTTCCGCAGAACTGATCCCCCTCTGATTCATTCTTTTCCTTTCCCATCTTCTTCCCCTCACTTTCTACATCCTTTCACCCTTGTCATACCTCACACCCTCCACCTCTTTTCCTTTAACCCTTCCCACACACACACTTCTCACCCTCCATGGGTCACTTTTGTTGGATTATTTTTTAAATGAATGATATGTTTAACATTTTGCATTTTTTCTTCACTTTTTTGTTTCTTTACCACCATTCCTTTTGTCCATTTAACTTTGTACCTCTCAAACCTTAGCAATTGGCTTTGTTTGAAGTGTTTAATGTTGTTTTTTGAGATTAGAGTATCCTGTTCTAAAACTGAAAATATAGTACTTCTCCCCCCCCTCCCCCACAAAAAGAATCATTCCCCACTCTCCACTTCTCAGCTTCCTGACCTATCAAGCAAATCAAATTTGAAGTCTGGAGACTTATTTTAGTGCAATCATCAAATTTGGGAAGATGGAATAACAGTAAAGACAAGGCAAGAGAGAAAGGTATTAACATGGGGAATGACAAAACAGACCACGACAGGAAGCGATTACGAGTAGATGTCTCACAGTAATTTGACAGATAAGGTTATAAAAATGGCAAAAGGAGAAAACTAAACAATCTGCATCTGAATCATAAAATCCCTAGAGTGTGGCAACAGTCCATTTGGCCCATCAAGTCCACAGCACTCCTTCGAAGAACATCCCACCCTTCCACGTTACCGCTGTAACCCTGTTTTCTCCATGGCTACCACCTAGCCTGCATATCCCTGGACACTATGGAGCAATTTAGCATGGCCAATCCACCGAACCTTTCTTTGGACTGTAGGAGGAAACCAGAGCACCCAGAAGATACCCATGCAGACATGGGTACAAACTCCACACCGACACTGGCCCAAGAGTGGAGTTAAATCTGGGTCCCTGGTGCTGTGAGGCAGCAGTGCCAACCACCGTACCATATGAATGCATGACATATTTGTCACAAAACGGATGAATTGATAGCGCAAGTAGAAATAAATATGATCTGATAGCCGTTACACAGATGGTTGCGAGATGACACAGATTGGAACCTGAAAATATTAAATATTATAGGACATTTAGGAAGAACAAGAAGTTAGGAAATGTGGAAGGGAGATACTATAAATTAATGATGCTAATAGCACAACAGAGATGGATAATCTGCATTTAGGAAATCAACACATAAAAGTGGTTTGAGTCGAAATGAGAGACATTAAAGGCAAGAAGTTACCTATGGGAGTGGTGTACAGGACCCCTATCAGTAACCACACAATAGAATGGAGTAGAAAATCAGATGAGAAAAGATTTACTAGGATGCTACCTGGACCGAAAGGTTTGAGTTATATGGAGAGGTTGGATAGGCTGGTATGATTTTTTCCTGTTGCATAAGATACTGAGGGGTGACCTTATAGAGGCCTATAAAATCATGAGAGACTTAGATAAGGTAGATAGCCAACAGCTTTACCCCATGGTAGCTGAGTCTAAAACTACTATTAGGGCATAGGTTTAAGGTGAGAAGGGAGAGATAAAAAAAGAGTCCAGAGGGGCAAATTTTGCACACACAGAATAGTGAGCGTCTGGAACAGCTGCCAGATGTAGTAGTGGAAGCAAGTACAATTTTATCATTTAAAAAACATTTAGAAAAGTACATGGATGGAATAAGTATGGAGGGATATGGACCAAACACAGGCAAATGGGACTAGTTTAATTGTGAAAACTGAATGGCATAGGCATGTATCCCCTTTGACTCTGTAACAGCATATTCTGAAGCAATCCAGAGAGCCGGTAATACTTGACCTGGTATTTGCAATGAGATAAAATTAACTAAAGACCTCATTGTGAAATGTCTGTAGGTCGCAGCACTCATAATGTGATTGGATTTTACATTCAGTTTGAGGGGGGAGACAAAAGGGTCCAAGACTAGTATTTTAAACTAAATAAGGGCAATTATAAGGACATGAAAACAGAGCTAGATAAAGTGAACTGGCAAATTAGGTTAAGGGATAAGTCAATAGGGATCTAGTGAGAGACTATAGCCTGTTCTTTGTTCTAAGTAACTGTCCTAAAAACATTCTATGAACTTCTAGACTACAGTTATACATTTGACTTTTCTAATCTTTATGTAGATTATTATATAATGATTATCACCTGACTTTTCTGACATGCTCCCATTACTTCTTCCTTCATACTCCATCCAACATATTTAAGGGAATATTTCAGAATACACAGCGTAGCTTTACCCCATGAGCATGAAAAATTCCAAGGGGAGGAGAGTTAAAAAAGTCAAGGAAAGTATCAAACTTAAAGAAAGATGGGGCACAGGTCAGAAGATTGGACAGAATATAAACAACAAAGAATGATTAAAAGATTAATAAGGAGGGGAAAAGTAACAAGAGAGAAAGATAGCTATAATTATAAAACAGATATTAAGAATTGATGCAAATATTTAGACATGAAAAGAGTTAACAACATGAATGTTGATCCTATAGAAAGCAAGTCTGTGGTATTAATAGTAGAAAATAAGGAAATGGTAGGTTAATTGAACAGATATTTTGTATTGGTCTTCGCTACTGAGGATAAAAGCAGATTCCCAGAAATAGCAGCAAATCAGAAGATGGAAGGAGGAAGGAAATAAACAATTACTATCACTAGGGAAATGGTACTGAGCAAATTGTTGGAGCTGCATGCTAACACGTCTCTAGTCATGGCGCACTTCATCCTAGGGCCTTAAAAGAAGTGGCTAGTGAGGAAATACCAGGCCAGTTATCTTATCATCTTAAGAGTGAAGATGTAAGAAGCTGTTCTAAAAGATGTTATAGCAGGACATTTAGAAAAGACCAAGATAATCAAACAGAGAGAACATGTTTTCGTGAAAGAGGAATCATGTTTAACTAATTTATTGGAGATCTTTAAAGGAGTAATATGTGCTGTGGGTAAAGTGCAACCAATTGATGAGCTGCATTAGATTTCCAGAAGGCCTCATAAAAGAATATTGCAAACATATTAACAAGGAAAAGCAGTAGGATACTCAGTCTTTTGAGTTTGCTTCACCATTCAATAAGATCTTAGTAGGACAATAGGTCGGCACAACATTGTGGGCTGAAGGGCTTGTACTGTGTTGTACTGTTCTATGTTCTAAGATCACGGCAGATCTGATTTTAACCTCAACTCTACACTCATGCATACCCCTAGTAATCTTTCATCCCCTTGGTAATCAAGAATAATTGCTGAAAATAAAAGCCTGTGATGTAGTGATTAGGATTTTGGCATGGATAGATGATTGGCTGGCTAACAGAAAAAATAGCATAGGCATAATTTGGCCATTATCTGGTAAGCAACATGGAACATACTAGGTGGGTTGTCTTATGAGGGAGTGTTGGACAGGCTAGCATTTACGCACTGGAGTTTAGAAGAGTAAGAGGTAACTCAATTGAAAAATATAACATCCTGAGAGGTTTTGACAGGGTGGATGTGGAAAGGATATTTCCTTTTGTGGGTAAATCTAGAACTAGGAGGGGTCACCATGTAAAAATTAGGGGTTGCCCATTTAAGATAAAGATGAAGAAAAATGTTTTGTCTTTGAGGGTTGTAAGTCTTTGCAACTCTTCTTTAAAAGATTCTGTAAGCAGAGTCTCTGAATAGCTTTAAGGCACAGATAGATAAATTCTTGGTAAACAAGGGAGTGAGAAGTTATTAGAGGCAGTCGGGAATTCTTTATTCACTCATGGGACATGAGCATCACTGGCTGGCCTATTATTACCTGTCCCTAGTTGCCCTTGAGAAGGTGGTGGTGAGTTGCCTCCTTGAACCACTGCAATCCATGTGCCTTAGGTAAGACTTTGGGGAGGGAATTCCAGGATTTTGACCTGGAGGCAGTTAAAGAACAGTGATACATTTCCAAGTTAGGATGGTGAGTAGGTTGGATGGGAACTTGCAGGTGGTGGTGTTCCTACATATCTGCTGTCCTTGTCCTTCTAGATGGAAGTGGCTGTGGGCTTGGAAGGTGCTGTCTGATCTTTGGTGAATTTCTGAAGTGCATCTTTCAAATACTCCACACTGCTGCTAGATTATTTAGCATCATAAATATCCAACCCATTTGATTATCAACCACAGTCTAAATCTGATGTCCGTCCGCACACTTGTCTCATCAGTTTTACCACTGCTCCACAGTGCTAGTGGTGGAGGGAGTGGATGCAATGCCAATCAAGTGGGCTGCTTTGTCCTGGAGGATGTTGAGCTTCTTGAGTATGGTTGGAGCTGCACTCAGCCAGGCATGTGGGGAGTATTCCATCACCCTCCCAACTTGTGCCTTGTAGATGGTGGACAGGTTTTGGGGAGTCAGGAGATGAGTTAGTCACTGCAGTATTCTTAGCGTTTGTCTTGCATTTGTAGCCACTGTATGTACATGCCAACTCCAGTTGCGTTTCTGGTCAATGCTGCAAAATGGAACAACGTGGACTTGAGGACCGTCAGCTATGATCCTATTGACTGGCAGAGCAGGTTTGAGGAGCTGAAGGCCTTCTCCTGTTCCTGTTACTCATGATCTTATGGTCATATGATAACCCCCAGCTTGTTAATAGGTTAAAATCAGATCACATATGATTCTATTAAACAGTGGGGCAGGCTGAAAGGGTTAAATGGCCTACTTCTGCTCCTAATTGCTGTGTTCATATGTTTCTCAAATTATGGTAAATGTGATTTGGGGATGCGAGCTTTAAGGACGTAGAGCTCAAACTGATTTCTGGTAGCTGCGAGGTGCCTTTAAACCCTCCAGTTTATTTACCTATTGGTGGGCAGGGCCTAATGGACATCTTTAAGTATAGATTGCAGGTGCAAAAATAGCTTGTGAAGAGGTAGGTGTATGTTTTTTTAAGAACCCAGCAGTTTAAACAATCCCCATCATGATAAACATCTGCCAGACCCGCCCCCTCCACCCTAAGTCTGAGATACTGAAATTGGATCATCCCAAAGAAACAAAGTTTAGCGACTCTCCCGTGCATCTGAGAAGATGGCATGATGCCCACCAAAGTGTCGCAGAACAGAAACATAAATAAATAAAACAATTATTTCTCATATGCAAAAAAAAAGCCTACAGAGAATATTTACTCGATGATTTCCCATGAATACGCTGAAAGGAAATTAACCCGAAAATTGAACCCTTTTTCTCTCTCCATCGATGTTTCCAAATCTGCCCAGTACTTCCTGTTTTAATAAAATAACGGAATGACAGTATTATTGTAATGTTGAGAATGAGGGCTGTAGCCTGTGGTGCTCAGCCGGTCCGGAAAGCCAAGTTCGCTGTTGGCCTGCAGAAACCTGGCAGTGTTGCAAAGTTTGCAGACGGTCTTCTTGTTTGACGTTGTATGTCTCAGTTAGCCAAGCAATTGAAACGAAAGGAGCTCGTTCTCGCGGATCAGTTAGAGAGTAAAGTTTAAAAAGTTCAGTTGAAAGATAAAGAACTGCAGAACTTTCCGTTCTCCTCAAAGAAACAGTAAAATTCTTGAATCCCAGGCGAGAAAAGGCAAATTTCAAATTTTAAAACGGCGCTGACAAGAGAACTGCGCAGAGAGATGTACGATTAGTTGGCGATCAAACGGGTTGGATATGTATTGTGACAACTAATCTATACAATACAAACTATATGAAAATTGAATCATTTTGATTTCGATGAATTGAGGTTACAAAATTATTTCGCCTCCAGCGATTTATAGTCTTAAACAAAATAATCACAAAATCTTAACAACTCTTACCAGTCTCGCCACAGTCTGAAAAATGAAACCGTTCCTGTCCTTCGGGACGCCAGGCCGGAATGCAAATACTCAAAATAAAAGTTCCGACTGAAAACATGTTTAAGCTAATTTGGCGTAAAGATTGTTGAAAATTAAAATTCTTTGTCGAAGCTATGCGCAAAAACAAACATAGAAGTACGTGCAAAAATAGACTTTCAATTTGAAAATGTAATTTCTATATTAAGGAGAACAAAATCAGTTAAAATGTCTCGAAATCAGCATTTAAATAAGTGTCCAGGGTTAATCTGATAAAAATGACATATGCAATCAATATTTTTCTGAGGAATTGCAAATCAACGATTTTATTTTACAGAAATTGAGGCGGGGAGACTTTTTTTTCTTTTGTTTCTGATGTTTCCCGGACGTGAGCGCTCGCCATTGCAGTGACGTCAAGGTGAAAGTGGTCTATCTGTTAACATTGGGGGCTCCCGGCATCCCCAGAACCGTTGCGGAGCAACCGGACTCTAAACTCCGAGATCCGCGAGCAGGTAAACAAGGTGCAGCTAACAAATGGGGCATTGCATAAAATCTACCACATTAAAAAAATGCATAACTTTCCTGTATATAATTTATTGCATTAAAGCCGTTGCATATGGAGAGGGAGAGAGAGATCAATTAAATAACTTGATTGCAATTAATAATTTAAAGAGTGAGCCCAGTTCTCAATGTATCTTTCTATTTGTGACCTGGGCACGTGAATGTGCAAAAGCTTTGTGCAAAACCTGTCGTTGAATTTTCATCGCCTTACTGGTAACTTTCCCTTAAGACCTCTAGGGTGACCTTATTTGGGATCCCGTGATGTTTTCCTGAAAGGGTTCTGCTTCAGATAAACCCTTTTTTTAAGAACTGGAGGGCAGAGTTTTAAAGTGTTTTTGGAGAGAAGCAAATGTGAGCTGAGGAGGAAAAAATCTTTGTCACACACTGAGAAATTCAGATAATGAATGCATTGCTTGGGAGTGCAGTTCAGGTTGATGCAAGCATTCAAGAGGGCTTTTGATGATTATTTAAATGGAATCAGTGCGCAGACTGATGGGGAAAGAACAGGGGATTGGCACTGTTAAAATATCTAGAGACATGGTGCAGGCACACTGCGCTGAATTTCTTCCTTCTGCATGTAGCAATTCTACAAGTTCAACAAAATATCATTTACATCATAAAATCATAAGATGTAGGAGCAAAAGTCAGCCATTCAGCCCAGTCTGTCTGCTCTGCAAATCATTAAGATCATGGCTGATCTGATAATCCTCAACTCACATTTTTCTACCCTTTCCCCATAATGCTTGATTCTCTTAATGCCTAAAAATCTGTCAATTTTTGCCCATCTATGTCTTAAATGGATGATCCCTTACTCTGTGATTATTCTCTCTGGTCCTAGACACTCCCACAAAGGGAAACAACCTCTCAGCGTTCTCCCTGTCAAACCCCTAAGAATCTTGTACGTTTCAAAAGGTCACCTCTCATTCTTCTAAATTCTAATGAGGAACTAAAAAATAGATACATCAAAAATAGGAGCAGGCCATTTATTCTACCCTTGAAGCCTGTTCCACTAATCAATATGATCATGGCTGATGATCCAACTCAGCACATGGATAGATTGAAGTAGTTGGTTCAGTTTTCCTTGGGGAAGGGAAGATTGGGAGGAGATTCCTGTGGAGGGAGAAACAGAGTGAATGGTTTCAGTTTGATGGCCTATCATCAGAACCAGTTAGCATCTTTTCTCCCATTTGTTCCCCAATTATTCATTCTGTAATACTTAATTGTCAGAAACAATTGTGAACTGCATATGTGCTCAGGAGTTAGGTAGAGTGTGGAGGGTGAAGCATGGAGGGGTAGGACAGGGAGTGTGTGGAGAGTAGATATGAGGGACTGCGCACAGGGTGGGTATGGGAAGCATGAAGTTGGGTATAAGGGAGTGTGGAGGCAATGGAGGTGTGTTTGGAGTTATGGTTCAAGTTTGGAGACACATGCAAAAGTTTTCTGCTTTATGCTCCTCAGGTTGTAATTTTACACCAGTTCACATTAATGTGTGGAAAGTCATAGGCTGACAAGCACAAGAGATTGAAAAGCCTGGTCTGAACAACTGGGAGATGCTTTGACTGAGTTTTGTTCTATTTGTTCGTAGGATATGGGTATTACCAGCTAGGTTGGCATTTATTGGCCACACCCAATTGCCCTGGAGTACTGCTGCAGTTCTAACAAGAATTGCCTACTAGTAGCCCTTTATACTGGTAGATCTTAATGCTTAATAGTAGTGGCATAGCTAATAAATAGCATTTAGAGTTCAGTAGGTAGAATAACCACTAAGTGCTGAGGAAATCAACTTTTTTCTTTACAAAAGAATAGTCATCATTTGAGACAAACCGTACAATTTTTTTTTCCTAAAATAACATACAACTTATTTGAGTACTGCATTGGAATTCATTGAATATATTGTTTATTACACTCATGAAAGAGATAACAGTTAGCTGGTTTGCGAGGCCGAGTGAAGCCAAGAGCATGGGTTCATTTCCTGCACTAGTTGACGTTGCCATGAAGGAATCTCCTTCTTAACTTCTTCCCTTGGCTGAGGTGAGGTAAACCGTCACTGGTTGTTTCTCTCTAATGATAGAGTAGCCCTATGGGCTGCTAAGACTATAGAGACCACCTTTTTACAAAAGAGATAATGCACACATTACTTCACCACTTGTGAACCGTTTTGTCTTATTCAGCAATGAAAGAATTGGCATATTCAACTTCTAATACCAAGTTGGTTTTTTGTTCCTATTCTTAGGTACAGGTTATGATAATTTTCTACCCATAGAGGTTGTACTGTTGCTGTACTAATGTAGCAATCCTTTAACTGTGTCAATTCTATATTTCGTTGTTCCAGCAGGTGTTTGGGCGACTCTATATGTGGGAACTTAAAAATAACGTGTAGTGGAAGAAAGCTGTCAAGATTCATTTAGTGAGAGGGGAAACATGCCAAAATTCCATGAAGCTACAAAAAGTGTTAGAAACACTTCAGTAATGGTCTGCACTGAGTCACTGATTGCAGGAAGATACCAGGTACAAGAGAAACTTGGGAGAGGCAGTTTTGGGATGGTTTATGTCGTGCTGGACAAGAAATCCCAAAAAACAGAAGAACTGTAAGTTGGAGTTCTATACTTTTGAAAAGTGTTGAGGTTGCAGTATATGGCCATTAGTTATGACATTAATGAACAAAGATTATGAAGCAGTAATGCTGGATTATTTGATACAGTGTGTGTGTGTGTGTGTGTGTGTGTGTGTGTTTGTGTGTGTGTGTGTAAAATGAAGGACAAAATTGACGTTCAATTTAAAAAAAAGTCTGAGTTTCAATATCTCAGATTTCACTTTGTGTTCGTTTGAGAAATGTTGATTCTTTATTGAAATTAATCCTGAAGTTTGTTTCCCCTGGCTAGAGAGTCTAGAACTAAGGACCATTGTTTCAGATGAAGGGGGTCAGCTGTTTTGGACCATGGTGAGGAGCAATATCTTCATCAGAATGTTGTGTATCATTGAAACTCTTCATCCTTGGACGCAGACAATGAATACATTCAATAGAATTTGGACACAAAGAGAATCGAAGAGATATAAGGAGAGGGCAAGAAAGTAGAAATGAGTTTAAGGATCAGCAATATGGCTCCTTAAGCTCCTCGAGACATCTGTCCCTGCTCCTATTTCTTATTTTCTTTGATTGCAGTATCATTCTCTGTTAACCCATTTATCAATTTCTCCTCCTAAGTGACAGCTTGAATCATAAAAGTGCTCCTGGTTTTCTTTTGTAAATGGTTCAGCTGTACATTTTCTCACGTATGACTGGTTTGAGGCAGCCCGATAAAGCAATGCAGCAAGGCAACAAGATTTTGTCTGTTTGATTTCTCCCGAATCCTCTCCTTGCTTTGCTCAGTTCCCATCTTAATCAGAATGCAGTGAGTAATAATGTCTGGTTTTCTCTGGAGAGGAAGGAAATCCTGAGGGACAAGGATTTTCAGATAATTCCTATCTGTTACCTAGCAACTTTTTGGGAATGATGTTGGTCTTTACTGTACTTTCAGCCCAATTTGGCATATATTTATGAGGGCTGATGATATAAATCTGATTAGAGTCTCAATACATGACTTAATAATATATAATGATTAACATTTGCACCTTGGCATAGATCCTTTGTACCTGAATCAGAAGATAATAATAGATAAAGATTACTTGTCTATTTTACTTTTTTTTATCATTTCGAGTTCCAGTTTGCTTGTAAAATACTAAGCTTTAAAGCATTTTTATCATTAATATAAACTAATTAATGGCAGTAAGTGATGTAACAATATTTTTCCATTAAATCCATTTAAATTTGAGATACAACTGGTATTTTCACTGCATTTTTAGTGGTAAAATAATTAATAACAGTAGGAGCTCTTTGAGGCTTCTAAGTTAGGAATGCTTCCTTTCGTCCGGTGAGGAAATAGTCTCTGGTTTAAGGTAGTTATAACTGTGCTAAGACATGGGTTCCATAATATTTTACAGAACAGTTAGCAATTGCAAGCTGCGTTGCCACGGAAACATATCAAAGAAAGGTCAGGAGGTGAACAATTAGGCACAGGAAGGTAAAATACTCATCGAAGTGTCTTATTAGAAATTGAGTTGAGCTATACATTTGCCACGTACCTGTTAGTTAAGTGCTTTTTATAGAATCCGTATGTAAGAGCTTTTCCATGTTCATGAGATTAAGGCAACAAAAGAAATAAACTCATAAGTTATTTGCAGAGAATCAAATGAGAAGAACCTTAAGTCCTAATTACAAGCTGATTCCTGGATCAACGCAACCTCCCCATTGTAATGTTAGATTTTGTGCGTCTTAAAGGTGAAATCATGTGGGTGCAGTAGTCGAGTATGACAAATGATTTGGTTTAAGTTGGAACCTGTTCTGCGTAGAAGGAAGAGGATGTCATCAGTGGGATTACTTATTTTCCTGTGCTATTTTCTCTCTCTGCCTATATAAATAAACCCCTTTTCTGATTTAACTTTTAGTTACACCAGTGGGAATCATCTTAGTGAAATCTTTAAACTACATGCTGTTTTGGTTTCCTTATTTATTAAAAGGATGTAAACGCATTGGAGGTAGTTCAGAGAAGACTTACTAGATTGATACCTGGAATGAACGGGATGTTTTATGAGGAAAGGTTGGACAGGCTTGGCTTGCTTCCACTGATAGAGGGATGGTTCATTGAAATGTATAAGATCCTAAATGGTCTTGAACAGGTGAATGTGGAAAGGATATTTTCTCTTGTGGGTCATCCAGAACTAGGGAGTGCTGTTTTAAAGTTAGGAGTCACCCTTTCAGGACAGAGATGAGGAGGGTTGTGCAATTTTGGAACTCTCTGCCTCAGAATGACCAGTCATTGAGTATTTTTAATACAGAAGTGGATAGATTCATGGCAGGCAGGTGAATCATGGGTTCTTGTGGATGAGAATGTGAAATTTGAAACACAAACAGATCAGCCTTGACCATATTGAATGGCAGAACAGGCCTGAGGAGCTGAATGGTCTACTGCTTTTTCTTAACAAGTCTGTAAAACATAGTTCAGGCAAACACAGTTGCTGTTCACTGGACAGCAAGTTTCTTGTGTAGAAATGCTTCCATAAGCTGTTATTACACTGGCAGATCATTGGTCCTTATGGAGATGTCACAGGCATTGCTGTTTCTGATTTCACTTGACAGTCACAGAAGTGAAGGTAAAATATGCAGCTGCTGGAAATCTGAAGTGAAACAAGAAATGCTAGAAATGTTGAGCAAGTCTGGCAGCATCTATGGACGGAGAAACAGAGTTAATGTTTCAGGTTCATAACTCCTCATCAGTTATGGTGAAGAACCTTCAACAGGAAATGTTGACAATGTCTCCGTCCCTGCAGATGCTGCCTGACCTGCTGAGGATTCACACATGTGCTCGTTCTAACAGAGGTCATTGGGAACAATTCATGTCTTATTTCCCATCCCTTCCTTGGACTTGGGCTCGCTACTTGACTGTAGCATACCATGGATTTTGGCAGGGGTCAGCCAATTTAACAGGAATGGATGAGGCACTTTAAGTGACCCCTGTGGCATATTTAGAGAAACATTCCAACAATAATCAGATTTCTTTGTTTTGACAACATCCATAGAATGTTACAATTCCCTTGTACTCCGCTGCCCTGTAGTGTTTGCCTCACTTACATTTGGCGTACCTCCTGATAACCCTACTCCCTTCAAAAATGATTGAGCATTCTAATTTTGTAGTGCCAGAATAAACATTCGATATGCACAGGAAATGCCTGACATAAACACCTTTAATATCCTTAATGATAGGGAAATGGTGCGTGTGTGTCACCAATTTTAAAGTTTGACACAATAACATTTGTAGTAAGAAATTTTAATGATTGAATTACATTTATGTTTGAGAGTATATATACACTTCCTCAAAAAAGACTTAAGAACTGAAATTCTGAGATTTATTTTTTATCATTTCTCTTGTGAGGTTTTTCGAAGTTTAGATAGCCCACATCCACTTCATCTCTAACTTAACATTGTAGTGAATATCACTGATAACTGGAATGACTCTAGACAAGTCCCTCTCAAGCACCATCACATCCTTCCCGCAGTGTGCTGATCAGTATTGGATGCAATGCTCTAGTTGTGGCCGAACCAGAGATTTATAAAGATTCTACACAACCTTCCCACTTGCCTCCTCTATTTGTGAAACTCAAGATTTTTAACAATTTATTCACAGCTTGTTGATGCCACTGGCCTTGAGAAAATGGTGATGAGCTGCCATCTTGAACCGCATGCTTTGCTAATCCATTGCTCAATATATCTTTGAACTTCAAGGATCTGTAAACATTGACCAAAGGATCTTCTGTTCCTGCAGCTTCTGTAGAACTGTGCTGTTAGTCCTCACTGCATCCCCCTATGCTATCTTCAGAAATGCATTCCTGACTTCCATTCACTCATGGCGCATCTGCTACGTTAGGACAGTCCTTGATGATACAATCCAGCTGATCCAACTGGATAGTTACAATTCGTCCAAGTACCTCTCTGTTGTAGCATCATTTTAGTACCAAAGAAAGCCATTCGATCCAGGGAGTCCATGCTAGGTATAATTGCAGCAAAGTATGCATCTATGTATCATTATTGATGACAAGAGTCTTTTGTTCTTTAGCGAGTCTTTATGATTCCTGTATAAAGCCTACCATGTACTTAATATTGAAGAACAGTTAAGCCTGAGTTTCATAATGAGGGAGGATAAATATTAGACTGTCAACAGGATGAGAACGTCAGAACAAGTATAGAAGGCAAAAAACGGAAACACTCAGCAGGCCAAGTAGCATCTGTAGAGAAACAGAAATCAGTCAACCAACTTTTCAGGTTAGGACAGAAGCTTGGGTTTTTCTCCTTAGAGTGAAGTGGAGGAGGTCAAGGAAGGTTTGATAGAGTTGTACAGGATTCTAAAAGGTTTGGACAAGGTAAACAAAGAAAGACTGTTCTCATTAGCTGATAGTATTAGCATAAGGGGACACAGCTTTAAGATTTTGGCGATGAGTCACATCAGTGAAATGAGAGGAGGAACTTAATTCTGAGGAAGGGTCACCGGACCCGAAACATTAACTCTGTTTTTTCTTTCACAGATGCTGGGCTTTTCCAGCAACTTCTGCTTTTGTTCCTGATTTACAGCATCTGCAGTTTTTTTGGTTTTTATTTAGGAACTTAATTATGCAGTGAGTGGCATTGACCTGGAACTTGCTGCCTATGAAGGTGCTAGAAGCAGAGGGACAATCAATGATATAGTAGGGCACTTGATGGAAATAAAATTACAGGCGCATGTGGAATCTGCAGAGTAATGGGAGTGATGGGATGCTCTACAGAAAGCCAGCATAAAGTGATGGGCCAAATGGTGTCCTTCTGCATTGTAACAATTCTACAGCTGTATAACTACTTCTGGTATTGTTTAAAGATTCCAGCTTTCAGAAGTTTGAATTCAATTTTGGGGCTTCTTTTCAGCTGACATAGAAGGGATACTGGTACAGCCCCAGGCCAAGTTACTGTACTTTACTCTTTGGATCAAGAATGCTACAGAGAATAAAGAGAGAAGGGAAAGGT